AAAAGCATTCTCCATACATTTCTTTGAGGTAGACATTTTTAGGTAAATACTTCACTAAAAATTTTATTTTACATCTGAGGTTGTATAGAGTATTCAGAGAGGTGACAGTGACCTCAGTACCTTGTCATTGCTATATCTACACAATTTTATAGATAATCTTTCAGTAGGACTGCCAGATAAAACACAGGATAAAATATTGCATGGTACATATTTACACTAAAAAATTGATTGTTTATCTGAAATTCAAATTTAAGTGAGCGTTCTGTTTGGCTTTTTTTTCCCCCTAAATCTGGCAACCCTACCTTTCAGTACAAGTCTGTTTCAGAAAAATACCAAATTCACTGGCAGGAAGAGATGTAGTCTCATGGAAATTGGGTAATTCTTTACCTTTTACGAACTTCTTGCAGACCAAACCACCATAAATGCTTCCTGCAGAAGCAACTGTAAGAAACAGAATACAAGGAAATATCACAAATAAAACAATTAAATGGATTTTATCTAAAGAGTCAAATGGAAGCCTGAAAACACTGCTTAAAGATACAGAACATAAAAAAAGGTGACTACTACTAACAAGTTCAGTAAAAATAGAGACACTAAAGAAGTGTCATGAGGCCACAATTCTTTGGGGGCAGAATAACTTCTTGGAGATGAGACCAAATAGCCAAGTGTTTTCACCTATATTCAACACCAGAAAAAGATTATAGGAAGACTTCAAAATGTAGCTAGAAACCAGAGTATAACATATATCATGTCAGTTATGCATATTCCAGTATTTTAAAAAATGGCCTTTCTTTTCACCAATTTACTCATTAGTAGAGAATACTTTACTAGACTATCAGGTAAGAATTCTCTGTACCTAGAGTTCCAAATCTCAACATTAGAACATTTAGAGCAATAATTCTTCAGGGGAAGAGTGTGAGGGTTCAGGAAGCAGGTACCTAAGAGGGGACAAAAGATTAGAACCACCTGGAGGCTTTTTTTCTAAATTGAACATGCCCTCCCCCTCAGGGATGTGACCCACTAGTTAAGAATCTAACAATCACTGCCATAGGAACCAATGGAAATGTGTGTATCCCTCAAGAAATGTTTTTACTGCAGGCAAGGAAGAAAGGTTAAGAATCACTGAACTAGAGTGAAAGGCAACACCAGTCTCTAAATGTGTGCTTTCCAATACAGTAGCCACTAGCTAGCTACATGTGGCTATTTAAATTTAG